TGACAAGAGGGGTGAAGGAGGCGTGCTCATACACGGATGAATGTTCGAAGGCAGTAGTTAGGTGCTTCAGTATTTTTAAGGACACATATTCCCACAGCCAAACTGCCTACTCACTCTGTAGCAGGAAAAAAACCCAAGCTGTCTGCTGAGCAGGGACCAGATGGAAAGCTTTCTGTACTTCTTGCTGGAGCACCCGGCAAATATATGTAATTTTTATAAATGTATTTTTTGTCGACTAAAGCAATCTGGGACCAAATCTTAGCGAAGAGGCTTTTTTGCCTTCAAAACTGTGACAGTATTGCTTCCCAGGACCAGAGCTGGGCTCATGGCCGTGCTCCACAGCAAGAGAGAGACTCTTGGACCCTGCAGTCCCTTCTGTCCCAAAGACTTGTCCTGAATCCAGACCTGTTTTCTGTTCCCAGCTTTGCCTCTATCTGTTACCTGATTATAGGCAAGTCTCTGAAACCTTCTTGAACCTTTCACACGCTGTATATCATGTCTGGTCTACATCCACTACAGATTGCTAGGTCTACCAAACGCTACACTGCAGTCAGAAGCCAATATTTGTGTTTCTGTAATAAAAATTCTGGCAAAGAAGCTACTCTTCACCATGTGTTTGTACGGTGCCTCACGCCAGAGAGCGCTGATCTATTACAGATAATAAATAGTCATTGAATTGCTTATCTTTCTACCAATTCTGCTTCAGAGGAAGATAAGATCATTCACCTGCAGAAATCTTCATTGGCTTGGGAGCCTTTTTGTGCACATTTTCTATATTAATACCAAGCAGATTTAGTCTATTAAATTTAAGCGGTACATGGTGTACATGTTCATTATTGCCAACACTCTGTTTTTCAGTGAATGTGCTGTGCATATTTGTTTTAAGTATCAATATCAATATATGATTTTCTGATTTTTAGTTACTCAGGGTCTCTGAACAAAATTTGTCTCAATTTAAATCTTTATTTTTTAAGTACATCTGTAAATAATTTATTTAAAGTCGCAATTATAAAAACGCCAAAGCCTAATTTTATGCTATGTTCTAATGAAGCCTTTTCAATTTAAATTAAAATACTGAAATATTTCTGTTGCTAAAGTTTAGAAGAAAGTAGGAATATCCAACAGTGGAAAATTATCAACTTTTATCAAATTACCTGGAATAAGCACTGAAATGATAAAACAGCCTTTTGGAGCTGTAGCTTCTTTTGCAGAAGCACAGATAATGTTTTCTTCTCTGGTTAGAACAGTCCATTTCAAAGTGGAAAACAGATCTGAGGGCTGGGTTAGAAACATGTTCTCCTTTTTCTGTTTGTGATTGTAAAACTGATGGAGGACTCTACAACACTGCCTAAGTCTTGGAGGATATAAGGTCCAATACAAAACACAAGAGTAAGAGCATGTTTCAGACATTGAAGTGCAACAGTTTAGGGTACTGTAAGCCAGTAATATCATCTTTGTTTACAGTCAGTCTTTTTCTGGTTGAGAACTGGTTTGTACCTCTCACATGCAGAGGTATAGAAGTCTGTCTACAGGCACCAGCAGCAGTGCTGGGAGAAATGTGCAGCTGCAGGTGTACAGAACTGCCTTTGCTGTCAGAGCTGGACCTGTGTGCAATCCTTTGTGTCCAAGGCTATTTTGGTTTCAGGGTTTGTATGAGTGCACTTGAATTGCCTTGGGAGCCTGATCTCTCCCTGCTCACAGCACAGAGAATATTGGCGTTTCATTTTGCATACCAAACTAGTTTTTGTTATCTTCCCAAAAACTAGTTCTTGTTGTGTATCAGGGCCACAGGGACCAGAAGCACTCTGCACACTTGATGTAGTTATAGAGAGGTCCTGAGTAATTTTCTTCCAATACAAATTATTTTTTTAATATATGGTTTGATAAAGATCGGTTACAGTAATGTCTTGAGCAGATTAACCGTACTTGTGCTGAACTATAAATTTTCAAATACTGCTTTTCTTTACTTCGAGTTAAGTATTTATCCAAATATTGCTTTATGCAATTAGAAACTCATAAGGTGTCATTCATAGTTTTCCATACTAATTTGTAAAAAATTAGGAAATTGAGTATATCATTGTTTCATAAACATATTAAAAGTTGTATATGCTTGTTCTGTGCACAAAAAATATGTTCAATCTATTTAGATAAATTTATCTGCAGATCTTCATCTTTATGGTTAAAAAACAAGAATGAACATTTCTTTAGGAGAAGGAAACCAAGTAAAATAAATCATGAGTTTTGCTAGACAGTTCAAAATTTGATTGTCTCCAGTAGTGCCCGTGTATTAAATAGGTCCCTTTAGTTTGTGATAGTGGATAACGAACAAATATGTTGGTTTTTTCCTTGATTATGCAACTGCTAAGTGGGGACTTCACATTTCTACCTCATAGGCATGCTGAGATGTGATGATACATCTTCCAAGTATGCAACACTATTCAAATACTAGGTCTGATTTTTTTATTTCTTCCAAATATTTATTTATGAATATATGTCAACTTCTCCAGTCATTTTCTGACACGTGAGGCACTTCAGGTAGTTGAGTGTCTTGACTTGTATTCTGTGTGAGCTTTATTAAAAAAAAAAAAGAAATTAAAACAAGTGAAAAACCCTGCTCACAGAAGCAGTCAGTTTCTCTGTCTTTCTCTCTCAAAGAAAACATGTATTTGGTTCTTTCACAAAATATTTGTGTTCTGTGAAGGTCTGCAAAGGTTTCCATGTTCCACAACTGGCTGTCTTCCCATCTTAAGATGAATAAGTGATAGCAATTGCTGTTTCTTCTTTGCTGTTGAAAGGTTCATATGTGCTGACCTATTCTGGCATTTTTTGTTACACAGTGGATCTGCTGTTATAGTACGGCAAGAGGTGCTAGAGCATTTTCCATTGTTATTAATGCTAGCAAATTAATTTGCCAAGATCCTGGGCTCAAAACTTTTCAAAACATCTCCTTTTTGTGTTTGGTTCCCTGCATATTACTTTCAGAATGTTTTCAACTTAAGAAATGTTTTCCTGTTTAAAAAAAACAAAAAAAGTGGTGGGGTTTTTTGTTTTGTTTGTTTGCTTTGTTTTGTTTTTAAATGGGAATTATTTCAAAACAAAGGGAACCATTGAAGTTCTTTGGTTTATCTCTAGTTACTAAAAGTAATGAAATTTAATCCAATACTTGAAAATTATGAGGCAAGAAATCATTGTTCATTAGTCATGGAACAAAAGAGGTCAATGTACACCACCTTACGGCACAAAAAATAATTAGGTAAAAAATGAGTGGCCTATCTTAGTATCGATGTATGCATGTGCTGCAAAGAAAGAGAAATGTTTCCCAGTATGTGTAACTATCTCTGCAGAGGGAAAGAACATACAGTTCCACCTTGGTCCCAATTCTGGCAAAAGTATGACTAAGTATGATCCCAGTGTATGGGCAAAGATGCTGCCCAAGCATCACTGAGCATTTTCAGTTCTTGGTGTCTGAGTCATGGTAATCTCCAGACCATGACCCAAGTCCCACTGGGGCCATGAGAGAACAGTTAGAAATCCTTCAAGCTACATCTGGCTAGGAGGAGGATTGTAGCCCTCTGGGTGATTAACAGAAGCTCTGGAATGTGAGATTTTGTTGTAATCTTTATCTTAATGTGTAACAGCAAGTGTAATGGGAAAGCTGAGGGCAATCCTGTTCTCAATCCTGTTCTCCCCAAGGCCCTCGAAGGATAGTGACTGAGGCAGCTTATAGAGTTGCATATCCCACAGTTTCAGACAATTTTTAAGTACTTACTAACTGCAGTCTGAATGGGAAACAAATATTGAAGAAGTATTGTAGCTTGTTGAAAACAGCTGCTCTATACAAGATCAGGTTTTGGAAGTAAGAAAGGGGATGAAGTCAGCCAAGACGGTGCTTTTTACCTCTCTAAACGTGTGGAATTCAGACCTGTTTTTCTCACAACATTTACAGTTTTCCATTTTCAGTAAACTCCCATCCTTCCATGCATACTTAGCACAGCCATGACACAACCACTTTAGGAGAGTGCCTGCTTTCAGGCAGCGAACCACAACAAACCTAACTGGGAATGCTTGCAACAGGTTCATCTCAGAGCTGTGGGTTTTGTTTTTCATCATCTCTGTTGAAACTGCTTGCAAGCTGCCCTCTTAACATGTGCCATGCTCTTGCAGGCCAATCTGCCCCTGCTGCAGCGGGAGCTGCTGCATTGTGCAAGGCTAGCCAAGCAGAACCCAGCCCAGTACCTCGCCCAGCACGAACAGCTGCTTCTGGATGCCAGCACCACCTCACCCGTTGACTCCTCGGAGCTGCTTCTCGATGTGAACGAAAACGGGAAGAGGCGAACTCCAGACAGGTGAGCACCCCTGCCCTTCCATACCCTGCTCTGAGTTTCCCATGGGTCCGATGTCCTGACCTCCACCATGAAGAGGGGAGCTTGTGGGTGGATGCCTGGGGGAAACTTGGATGATGTTCCCTGGCGGGTGCTATGCTGCCTTCAGGTCCAACCTGACCTTGAATGTTTCCAGAGATGGGACATCTACCTCCTCTCTGGGCAACCTGTGCCAGTGATTCACCAGCCTCACTGTTAAAAATTTCTTCCTTATATCTAATCTGAATCTCTTACAGGTTTACAACCATTATCCCATAAAAGGGGCCATCCCATCATAACAGGCCCTGCTTATGCATGTCTGCCTATACATTCATACATATATATAGAGAGAGAGATTTATATATACATATAAATACATATATATATATACATATATATACATATATTTATATATACATATAAATCTCAGTGTATATAAATACAATACATGCATACACTGATTCAGTCAAGAAAATCACCTGAGGACATACTGTGGTCATATCCATATGGAAGTAATGGCCAGCCAGTACTGTACTACTTTGTGCATAATATTTCTGTGCATCATGAAGTGACAAGCAGCAGATCATGCCATCTCCACATGCAAGTCCTTTGCATTTGAGGTTTTGTTGGACTAAACAGTAAATATGAGGAAAGTGGCTAGGCATTTGCATTGGGAAGTAGAAGGCAAACCCTAGAGCAGTAAGGGCTTTGATTCCTTCTGCTGTGCCATGGTTCCATATCCATATATCCAATATGCATAAGGATATTTCTTCCAAACAGGAGAAATGCTCACTGAAATCTGTTTTGTTGTTGAGCTGAGTAAAGAGTCCATGCAGAAATGGGGCGAGTGCATGTGTGTGTGAGCTACAGTAGCTTTAGGGCTATGGAGCAGTTTTTCTTTTTTGAATAAAGCTCTTTGTTTAGTGTTACAAGAAAATGACTCTTGTGATTATTTATTTTCAACTGTCTTCCCATACTAATGTTGGAAATTCAACTATCATTTACATTTTATCTTTAAGAGACTCAAATATTGTATTTTCATAGATTTGTTCGCCATGGACTTTATAGTGTGGATAACTTTTTTAATGCTGTTCTGTCAAATGCCACTACTTGCATGCCTAAGGCATGGCAAGCATCCTAGTTATCCTTTAAATGAAGAAGCTGAAGATTTGCAAAGTCAAGAAGCCACATAAGTTTGTAAAGATGACATTTTTGTGTAGGAACAGGCTGAGATAGCACAAAAATAAAGGGAAAACAAAGTCTGAAAGCTCATAGTAAAACTTTAAACTCATAGCAAGAAGTGAACAGTAAAATTTAAAGTAACATAGCCATTAGATAGACAAAAATGTGAAAGTGTTTGAAATTAGCTTGTCTGAGATTGTGTTTCAGGAATCACTATCAACCAGCAAGGAAATTAAGATACCAGCAGAGAAGCTCTTTTATGTGTACCCTCTTTTCACCATTTTTCCCTGACAACTAGACCAAACTGAAACAGCCATTGGGGTTAACACAAGCCTGCTAACTGCACCCCAGAAAGATTATTAATTTTCAGACGTTTTACATGTAGTCTATTACTCTGTGCAAAGAGATAAACTTTCCAAAGGTGAAGTAGCTTCCTGGCATTTCAAAAACCTCATCCTTTCTTTTTGACTCTGCAGTTCATTGCTGTCATGAAGAATGCTCACCTGAAAGGAGACTGCCCAGTTTGCCCATTGGAATTGTACCTTGAGCTTAAAAAATAAGTTGGTTTTTTTTCAGTATCAAACAACCCTGTCACTGGTTAGTCACATCTACTTCTCCATTGACTATGACTATGATTAAAGCTATATGGAAAAAAATATGCAGTCGTTTTGGCTGAGCTAATTTCAGTGGAGTTGTCTTGAGCACTCAAGAACATTCATACTACAGATGTAGTAAAAAGAACAAGTTCCTTTTGGAAAAATTATTAAATTTACTGAATGGGAGTCTGCATACCTTTTGATTTGGATAATGCAAGTAAACCAACCACAAAAAGCTATCCTCAGAGGTTGAAAATGCCCAGACTGGGTGAATATTGAAACCAAATACTTGTCTGGCTTTATACTCATTACACTATTAATTATTTTAATTGTTTACAGAGAAGCAGGAGAAAACATCTGGAGATATGTATACCTTTTGTTTAGATATCTAAGTAATTTTCAATGATACTAATACAAATACAGAAGAAGATACCAGACATCCTTTAAGAGAAGGGTTTTCTGTGACTCTGTGGCTAGCATATGGAAAAAAATTGCTAAAAGGCAACATCTTTCCAGGTGAACTAAATGCAGTTGGAGTAATTTTGATTGGAAATATATCTCTTAATGAAGTAAACTGTGGTATCTTTTTCACTTCTCAAAGTATATAATATATATATTTATATACACGCACACATACATACATTTTATATAATGTGTGTTATATATATACACACATATATATCTCATGTATAGATGTGTATGTGTAGAAATATATATCCATCCACACATTCATATTGATATTTTTGTTTGGGCATTAACTGCATACCATTGATTCCAATAGAGGTAAAATATAGTATGGGATTAGGCAAAGGAAGTGTAACATGTGTTACATGTAACCGCATCCACATCGTGATTTTTTGTTAAAGAAAATCCACATACAGTAATTTTTTCTGCTTATAATTTCAGAACCTTTTCTGCATATGCATTTTCCAATTCTGGTTATTTATCTGCGTATTCAAGTCTACTGTATGTGAGATTTTATAGAGCAATCTGACAGCAGAGCTTCGTGTTTTACTGAATGTTTTCATGGTGCATATGGTCTGACATGGATGAGCAGCCACGGTGAGATTTTGGAGTCTATTAAACTAGCTCATTAAAAAGATCAATCTGTTTCTGTAATAACACTGGGAACCATCAGTCACTGCAAGAGGGGAAAACTGACACCTGAGGAGACAACACATTTTGGTAATTTGTTCATGACATGTCATGAACAAAGTGTTCACTATATTTTGTTTACAACTTTTGGAGTTGACATTCTACTGTAGTAAAGCAAAGGAACTTGGACCAAAGTGAGATTTTATCTTGGTGAATGAATGCTTAGTTACAAAGGACATGATTTGAAATACATTAACCACAAAAAACTTTTTGCTAATTAGTCATCCTTTGAGCTTGCTGGGAAAGGCTGTATGGTGCATGAGCATGTCATATAGTGACTCTACATGTGTGACAGTTGCCTACAAAGTGGATATAGGATAGCAAAAAACTCTGTTAGAATAGCATTAATTTTGAGTGAGAAGCAAACAAAAGTGGCCGTGATTGTGTTGTGACTGTGGAAGTGATTGCTGTACACTTGGCACCAATAACCAGAAATACGTGTCAAAGGTACCTGGGCACAGAGATCAACTTCGATAATACTTTTAAGTAAATCTTATTTGAAGAGGCTTCTCCACATCTCAGCAAGGTGAAGGATGCTTACAGCTCTTACAACTATGCTCCTTGGTAAGCCATGTGTAATTATGAGGAATTTTAAGAATTTTCTTAATATGAACTGTTAGCAAGGCAGTAGTAATCATTTCGGTAACACAGTATTATAAACAAGTACTTTTATTCCAGCAAAGCATTATCACTTGTTTGGTCATCAAACCTTTATTGGTGGAAGTCAATTTAAATCAAAGCGCCTTGCACAAATAGCAGTTGAACAGCTTTACCTCATTTCTTGCAAGCTAACTTCAGTGTTCTTTGAAATTGGTGTAATACTCTTGATCAGGCAAAACCTAATTTTCCAGCCAGGCAGTTTTGCATAGTTAGATTTTCTACCCAGGAAATTGTCCATAAATTGCAATAATTTCAAACAAATTATAACCTAGAAACAACATAAATTCTTTTAAATGGGTACAAACTAATGACTACTGTCTATTCTGCTGTCCAAGTAAATCATAGCTCCAAGTAAAATGACCTCTTGTGTGTTTATAGCTGAAGGACCCCATCTATAATATTGCCAATTTTCCAAACAACGGTGTTGATTTACATGCACATCAAGGAAAATGTGCCCAACAGGAGCAAGAAAAAAGGTGTCAGGTTTCCTGCACATTCAGTGTTATTTGCTCTCTACAGCTTGTGGTTGCTTTGCAACATCAGATGAATCAGATAAAAAGCGGATGAAAACAGATTAAAACTGTGATGGTGTTATATTTGGAACTAGTATTCACATGGGTCTGCCAGTTACTGAAACAGGAAAACAGGAGTGCTTCCTCAGCCTCCTGGGGAAATGCTGACACCTTGTCCCAAGGGCTGAGACCTGAAAGAACGAGTAGGACTGAGATCAGAGGCAGACTAGTAGGTGGAGGTCAAACTGGCTGAATTATGGCATTTTTCAGTACTTTGTCTTTTATCACTGTATTCAGTATATTTAGATATAGTAAATTTGGCACTGATTCATGTTCTGATGAGGTTTTCTAAGTTGTTACTCTTTGTATATGTTATATGGTCAGAAACATAAAATGAGTCTGTGTACAGTAACATTCTGGTATTCTGCTAAGTGCAGAAAATATAAGAGTAAATTGTAGAATTTAAGTTTTAAGACCCAGAAGACATCACATGTCTTTTAATTTCAGTAAATGTGTTTTCAATGGTCATGTTAATTTCTGTGTTAGTTAAAGTTCAGTGGATATGCTGGTTTGTTGTCCAAGCTAATGCAGTGCATTCCAATTAAGGTAATTGGGTACAAAGTTAAGGTGATTAAGTACAAAACATTAATACACAGAGTGTTTCCCCACAGACAGTTCCTGGAGGGTGGTTGGTTGCTTTCTGGGGGAGGGTTTATTGTAAGGCAGTTGGTTTTAACGGCAGGCAAGAAAATTAGATTAAATTTACCTTTCTGTCAAAGTGACAAAATATTGTGTTATAACTAGGAAAGATACATTATGTCACCCATTTCTTACAGAGGATAAAGTTATTTTTTAAAAAAACTGGAATATATCAGCTGTTTAAGAAAGGTTTTTGGAGGGAGGAGTGAAACCTCAACAGTTTCAATATTTATATCTAATAAACTTTCTGATCAAAGCTAATATTTTGTAGGTTTTGTTTATTCCCATGGTAAGTAAACCATACTTCAGTAAAACGAAACTTCTGTAAAAGAACCTATTGAATTGACTCTAGTGTTTATTTTTTTTTATTTAAATAGAGAATTAGTTCAATGTGAGTTCAAGCTTCTCAGACAGAGGTGTCAAGTAGAGACTTCTTTGGAAATAGCTGATCATGAATTTAATTAAAGCGTATCTTAGAATATAAAAAAACTGTCCTTCTTCCCAATAACTCTTCCAAGTTGCCTGAGCATAAAACTCCTATCTAAAGTAACGGAGTGGGAAATCCTGAACGTTATTGAGGACTTGAGTCTAACCACATCTTCCTGCAAAATTAATTACAGTCACAGAACCTATGACCAGAATAGCCCAGACAGTGCAAAAATCTCTGAAGGAAGCATTTCTCATCACCTAGAGTCGTTCTTCCCCAAAATCTGTGTGACACTGATCTTGATGGGAGCTCATGGCATGCTGAGCTTCAGCACACTGGCATGCACTACCTTGAGACTGTCTGCTGTCCTCTTGAAAAAAACATTTGTTGAACTGCCAATTTCTCCTAATCACTATAAGCTATAGCACTACTGAAACTAGGAATTTCTTGGTCTGTAGCTTCATGTATCAGTTCATTGTTTCAGCTCTGTAATTACATATGTATCCATCCCATCAGCCAGTGAACCATCCCATGATTCAGTGAAGGCTGCTTGCTCTCCAGCCCCTCTTTAGGTGGCTCCATCAGAAGGCTCACCCTGCTAGTATTTCTCAAGTTACAGGGATGGATAGAAAAGGTGAATGAGTCCTTTGTACATTTTGCATGTGCAGTGTTATGAAATGTTCTGCAACACCACACGCTTGGAACAAAGTGCAAGAACAAACTTTAGTTCCTGATGATGCATGTGTAGATGGGGGTGTGTGTTCCTGAGCTCTGCTCACTAAGTGAATTAAAGTTCCTTTGCTTTATTTTTCAGAACCAAAGAAAATGGCTTTGACAGAGAGCCTTTGCACTCAGAGCATCCAAGCAAGCGGCCCTGCACTATTAGCCCAGGCCAGCGGTACAGTCCAAATAACGGCTTATCTTATCAGCCCAATGGTCTGCCTCATCCCACCCCACCTCCACCTCAGCATTATCGTTTGGATGATATGGCCATTGCCCACCACTACAGGGACTCATACAGACACCCCAATCACAGGGACCTCAGGGACAGAAATAGACCTATGGGTAAGGCATGTTGATTTTCTGCATTTTTTTTCAGGTTTCTGTTTTCCTTGTAATTCTGTATTGTGAACAGGATTTTTTTACCTGCCATTCAGATATAGTCTTTATTGCTGTTTGTCCATCTAGCTACTTCTAATGGCCTTATTTCAGATTTATATTTCTAAAAGTGAATTGAATTGTGTCTTAAGTAGGAGAGTCAGAAGAGGGAGGAGCCTGTGCTTTCAAAGCTGCATAGGTGACAAGGACACTTGGGTGTATGTCAGGCAAGGATAGGTAGAGCTTTCTATTTTTCTTATAATGCCAAATTTGTAATGATGACAACCTCAATATAGCTTGGTTTCGGCTTAAAGTAGAAAAAAGTTATTATCTTTTGGGAGAAGTGTTTTGCGTATGACATCTGAAGAGAAAAGTGCAGCATGGGGATATCTGCAGAGGATGTGAACCACAGAAGCATCAACCACACCCCGCGCAGCACAGTTTGGTTTAATGGGACGTCTGATGCTCTTGGGTTTGCCTGGCTTGCTTCACATCTGCACTTACTGTTCTTCCTTGTTTTAAACAAATCTTCAATAAAAGAGGAACACTTACAAATATTCAGCATCTGTATGGAGGAGGCTAAACAAAGAACAAGTGTTGGTTCCCCTTGAGTGTTGATAATAAATACTGGCTTGGTTGTATCATGTTGTCAGCTGCTCTGATATATGTGCTACATTTTAACCACATGTTGTTTAAACATCTGTGAAGGGATGAACCCTTAATGACGCTCTGTTGACATGGTAGTAATTACTGCATTTAGTGAAATAACATTGAGTTTATACTAATATTTTTTCAATTCTCTGAAGTACAGCTAGTATTCGATACACTGAGTTACCAAATAATAGCCTTGCTGACTTCAAGTAATGCAAATGAAAAAATACATATTGTATTCTGTTATATTTATGTATATAATAATTGTATATAGTCAGAAAGCGTTATGTCCATTTTTGAAAGATCATCTTACAACCTATAGAACTGGCAGAATTGAAGACATTAAATTGAACGAAATGGTAGCATCTTGTGTGGGAAAAAGTACTAAGGAGAACTTAGAGCAAAGTTTTTAAGCTTCCATTTTTTTTGTGGTGGTGGCATTCTGTATGCTACAACAGATAATGTATGATGTTTTTGTCTATAGGGTCTTTTTTCTTCTGCCTTTTTTTTCCTCTAGAGGACTCCCAACATTGTAAACATGATTTGCTCCCTTTTGGCAGGGTTGCATGGCACACGTCAAGAAGAAATGATTGATCACAGGCTAACAGACAGAGAATGGGCAGAAGAGTGGAAACACCTTGACCATGTAAGGGCTAAATATACTTTTATGTATAATTGTCTGAAAGGAGCCCTTCTAAGATAGGACTTTAAAATTTTTCTTTAAAAAAAAATCTGAATCCCAGGACAAGTTTTGAAAGCATTGGTGATTAAATCAGAGGGCTTGATGTTCCCCATGAGATAGCTCATACCAGGCCTTACTGTTAAGTGCCTTCTTCAGTATCCTAATTATTACAGTCTGCCAAAAGAGGAATGGACTCTTCTCTGTAAATGCTGAATCTGGGGCACGTTGAATTTTTTCTTTGAATTTAGTAGCTCTTAATTTGTAGGCATCAGTTCTGGACCAGATCACCTGGCCTCTGTGGTGCTTTGTGATACTAGTGGTAGGACTACAGCCTGTTCAGTCTTTTCCTCCTTGTCTTCGCTCTTCCTCCTGTGAATCCCTATTCATATAGTTTAGGATCACCAGTTAAAAAGGAAGGGATTATCATTCTTAAAACAAATCTAGAATTTTTCCAGCTATATTTGAGATAACAGAGAGGGAGGAACTCCATTATTAAAACCCAGGCACTCAGCACATTAATGTTTTCTTTATTTTTATGTCACTCTATTAATAAAATGTTCTTTTTTTTCTCTGCTCCATCAATCACTGTGAATAGTTGTTGAACTGTATAATGGACATGGTGGAAAAAACTAGGAGATCTCTCACTGTACTACGGCGATGTCAAGAAGCAGACCGTGAGGAGCTTAATTACTGGATACGGCGGTACAGTGATGCAGAAGATTTAAAAAAAGGTGGAAACAGCAGCAGTAGTCATTCCAGACAACAGAGCCCAGTGAATCCAGATCCAGTTTCATTAGGTACAGTATCCTCATTAAAAATTGTTTACAGAATCTCTTTAAGCTCAGCTAAGTGCTAGATGAAGTTTGTATTTGTTCTTCTAGTTGTTCTGTGATAATCCTGCTCAGTACGAGAGGAATGTCTAGGCGGGATTCTGACTTAGAGGCGTTCAGTCATAAGCCCGCACTGTGACAGTGATGATTGCTCTCTGCTGACTACTGAATTAAATATAACTCTTATGCCCTAATAGTCATATTTCTGGGTGGAACGACTTGAGGTTTTTTGGGTGACGCTTGGTAATTTGCCTTCCATTCAGCAAAGTCTGAGACTGGTGGGGTGGGAGGAAGAGCTGTTGTGTAGGGGTGGCAGGGCAGTGACATGTGCACTAACTCTCTGTCCCTTCTAACTCCCTCCGTTGCCTACTTGATTAAGGAAATCTGTAGGTGTTTCTACATTGTCTGCACTTTGAAACAGGGCTTTCACCATCTTAAATCAAATGACTTGGAAGTTGTCTTTCTAAGGAAATGAAGATATAAAGATAGGGGCACTTCTTAGCTGTATTTGGTTTCTGCTTAAGAAAGAAACAAGATTTGGGATGTCTACAGCCGTGCACGTCTGTGTCCACCGCTGCAGCTTGTGCCGGTGTGTCTGAGACAGTTTGGGTGCTGCTCGTTGTGTAGTTAACTTGGAGCCGCTCAGGCTTTGGCTTAGGTTGCAGAGCCCCCTTACAAGGACTGACCAAGCAACTGGGCTTTCACTCCCTGCGGACCTTCACAGTCGCACTTGCATGGTATCTCACACAGCTACTCCAAGAGGACTCTGCTATATAAAAACAAGCTTTTACTTTGTGGGTTTTTTTGTAATTTGTTAATACGTTGGCCTTTTTCTACCATCCCCTCACTTTCGTGGCAGTTATGGTAAAGAAACACAGGTGATGCCTTTTTTATTGTTCTTCGCTCTTTTGAAGAGAACAGCAAACTATGCTTACTTGTCTAATATTTATCTTCAAAAAATAATAAATTGTCTGTATTCAATGCCCTCTACTCAAAATCATTGTAAACTATGCTCATTAGTAGAATTGCATATGTGTGTTATTTTGCACTATATTTGATTTAAAGCTGTGGTTTCCTTTTGCCTTTATGAATAACTTATTAAGTCAAAGACTTCTTTAATTGCAAATAGAAAACCAGAAAAATCTAATCCTCTCTCTGTCATTCTCTTGGTAAATCTCTAGAGTTATTACTGTAATATTTAGTGCCTCTTGATAACAATTTTTTGTGTATGTGTCAAATTATCTGAGTCAATACCTCTATAAATTAGCTTCAGTCAGTGGAAGGAAGGGTTATGGAAAGGCCGTTCCCAAGTTCACTAGTAAGTCTAGTCCCTGGAGGAACTGTTCTCAGGAAGAAGCATTGAGGTAACGGCTTGTACGAATGGTATTAAATGTCATTTAAAGAAAGACTCATAAATATGGCACCTGAAATGGCGATCACATCTGTAGCTTTGGGAAGGACACTTGTGAGTAAGCTGCTAGATCAAAAGCAGTGGCACACTTCTCCAGTAAAGCTGTGATGCAAAAAGAGCTAGTCCATGGTGCTTGTAACTGTAGTTGGTAGGTAAAAAAATAAAAAGCAGCTAGAGTTTTTATATTTCTTCAAGGAAACTGGAACTCATGACATTCATCAAACCTTTGTAAATAATACTACAATCCAAGAAAAATAGTCATAACCACAACAACAGGTACAAAAGATAAAATGGAGATCAAACATACAACTAGATCCCTATATTAGCATATTGTTTATGTATTTGTCAAGATGAATTCTTGGAAACAGCAAAGTCTGCTGCCTTAAAAGACGTTATACAGCACAGCCTTTCGTATTGGACACACCAGTCATTTCTGCAGTGTACTGTGGGTACAACTGAACTGGTTGGAGTGAATCCATTCAATTTTAACGTGTCCGTTTTGGTTATTTGGTTGAAAAAATACTTCTTAGACTCATGAACATGAAACTTGGCTTGCTTTAGTGATGTAGCATTCATGTCAATCGTAAATATTGATAAGAAGTGCTTTTGTGTCTACCATGACAGGGAGAAAACACTTTCCTTGGAGTCTATGGAAGGGAAATCCTTATAGTTCCTCAAATCTGGTAGTAATCTAGTTAACAAAATGAAAACTCCTAACATTCAGACATATAATAAAGTTGAAGCAGTGTCCATAAGCCTTGAGATGCTTTAGGGCTTTTTATTTTAGTTTTGAAGTGAGAAGGAAGGGGTTGAAAAATTCATACGATGTTTTAATTAAAGTGCCACACCATGTAAATATTGGTGGTTTTGCTGCAGTGATTCTAAATATCAGTGATTCCACTTTGTACGTTTTTTTTTTAATGAGGTAATCCACCCTTTAAATCCATCTTGTCATCTCCACTACCAAGGGGGAGAAAAGAGGGCCATATGGCTACATTGTCTGTGCCTTTGTTTCTTTTTCTTTACAATTAAAATATCATCACTAAAGTGATAACATCTTGCTATAAACAGTATGCCACAGTCCTCATAGATAGCTCTTGCTGAAAAACTCTGAGCTTAAATTTAGCACTGATAGTTTAAGTCCAAAAGTAATTGAAGAAAATTCTGGTTGTTGTTTTGAACCAGTAGACTTTTTTTCTGCCAAAGAGTTTTGTGCTTCTTTTAATTTGACATCCCTGTAAATTATGTTGAGCATGACAGTTTGCAGTATCTAATCAATATTTTTCTGTTGATATTTTAATTAAGAAATCAAATGAAGTATTTGATCATTCATTTTAGTGCAATGTAATCCAATACACATATTAGTCAGCTACAACAGGTTACAAGCTGCCATTATTCTCCAATTGTGTGTAAGGTGAGTCTGCTCTTTTCAGTTTGAATAATACATGTTTATGAAAGTCTAAAAATGACTCAGACTTTATATATATTCACTTGATTAACAGTGATGGTCTATGAAGTGAATAATACATCATCCGACTCCTTCATTTCTGCTGAAGAATTTCAGTACTATATACTGCAGCAAGACTGCAACTTTCATCCTAATAGTGAATAATTACACATATCAGACAATGAATACTGAAATACACACAGTGAGATAAATTAAAGATGAGGGTTCTTCAATGTTGTAGGTTATAAACAAGATCTATAACCTTACTGAGTGCAGCTGTGGCTCTAGATAAGTGGTGTAGGCACACATCAGAAAGTCTGCAGCGGTGTTGGTATTTTGTGTCTGTTGAATTTATCTGAATGGAAATCTTACAAAATAGAGTTTGAAATCTCCAACTGAAGACTACCAATACCTGCAGGATTTGCCCTAGGAAACCAGGATTCTCAGAAGTATATGAATTTGTCAAAAACATGTAGGTTAGCAATTTCTTAATAAATTTTTAAATGTTAACCCTTTCAGATCTAGTTTATATTTTATCTAAGGTTGTTCATTGCCATGTTTTCAGTGTTAGCCAGAGCACTCCTGCCAGTACATGTCTATTCATGCTGCGACTATAAAACCGTTCCTTTGCCATTTGCAGTTAATTTGCTGTGATATGCATGATACTCTCAACATGAACTACCTGTAACGCTGTGAGTGCCACAGTAACATTTATAACTTGTAATTCTGGAATATAAAGCCTCTGTAATACTGGTCACTGATGATATTAAGTATTGCTCTTAATCCACTCGCTGCACGGGAGGTTTGGGCTAGATTGTGGAGTACTCAACTGCATACTGTTATGTAGGGCGCCAGCTGCAGGACCATTGCATGTTTGTGTGCTAGTGTTTGCTTATCGCTTGGCCTTTTTTGAGGATGATTCAGTAATATAGTACTTGTGTCATTTTACTTTTCTAATTTCTTTAAGATGAGAACGCAACTGTGTTTTGAACACAATTTCAAGGAGTGTTGTAATAGCCACAAAAATGTATTTGAGGGCAAAGAAGTGCATAAAAATACTGGAAACACGTGCCCCCCAACCAGGTGCAAGGTAGTCTCATTCAGTATTACACTTCAGAGTATTACACTTCAGATCTGTATTTATGTATTATTTGGAGTTGACATGCTTCTGAGCTTGACTCTTACAAACAAGGCAGTGAATCTTTGATATTTGTTGCTCTGAGAAGTTTTTTGTTTGTTGTCTGTTTCCCACCAATGGTATTCCATTTATTATAGGGTTGAATGAAGCAAAACTTGCATATGAAATATGAAAACCATAAAAATGCATATATATTTCATTTGTGAAATAATCTGTAATTCAGGGCTGGTTTTTTTTTTATTATGTAGCTTTTTTTATTTTTGAGCCCTAATGTTCAGTACAACATATATGGGTATTGTTGTTCCTGCCAGGTTTTCTTTAATACAGTAAATTCTAAGATCCTCAAAAGATCAGCTATTCATCTCCGTTTCTTAATACTTTGTATTATAGACTTGCATGTCATTGTCCAGTGATAAAACCCTCCATTCTTTTGTGTTGCCAACCCGTCTTTGGTCCTTCTTTCCAAATATGGATTAGAGTTTTGAAGGTTTTGAACACATCGTTTCCTTCTAAGTCTTTCTATTCTGTGATTCTTGGGTTTGGGCCTTATGAGTTCATATCCTTTATTTAGTCGTAGCTTTTCATCTCAGTTTCACTTCCCAGACCCATATATATTGCTGCTCTTACAACTCTACATATCCCTCCAGGTCTCTCAGTACTTTCAGCACCTGTTCTCTTTATCTTAAAGCCACCAAAAATGATTAATAGAATGTGAGAGCTGAAACCAAGGACAATTTTTGTGTGTTTTCCTCATGTGTATTGTTCTATTCCAGTCCAACAACTTTCGTGCTGTTTCACAAGTTTATTTCACATTAAAATAGAAAATGTCAAAACCATTTCTTATATCAAAAATCTCTCTTATTTTATTTCATTTAAGCACTTCACAGACAATTACTGATTACTCTCATGTATATGTACTTTTTCTTTCCCTTTTTGGGCTTTTTCATCTGGTTCAGTAGGAACTGGACTAATTATCAATACGCGCTTTCAAACTGTGCCTTGCCATCGAATTTCAAGTAAATGCAGTATAGTACATCCAGTTGGTCTTCATAATAACGTTGTTGCATTTTTACCATTAAAAAAACATTGTTATTATGTCTGACATGTAAAGCTTTTTCTGTTATCCTTTCCTATATGAGCTGCCATGTCACTTAAGGTTATTCCTGATTTTGTCAGATTTCATTCTGTTTCTTCCCAGGCAGCGTTTACTTTGACTTCTAGGTGCTGCAGTCAATCAGTTAATATGTTTTCCTCATTATGGCTTTTTGCAGTTGCTTTTAAATTTAGTCTTTTAGGGACTTTGCTCAATTATGTTACTCCTGGTTTGAGTTTTCTAGGTGTCCAAGTTAAGATCTTTTTTGCTGTAGTTTTCATGAGCAAATTCTGTGATTCTTAAGCTCAAGAACACCTTACCCTAAAAATACTACTAATATAAGACTTGTATCCTCTGGTTATGTCCTGTAGTTTAGCCTCAGAAAGACGATTGTTTTCATGGACTCATCATCACTGCCTAAACAATAGCCATGTTAATAATATTTTTCTTGTTTGGAGAATACGGTTTTTATTATCTTCATAAGTGCTTCTTGTCTTTTTTTTGTGCACCATTCCAAACTATGGGAAAGTCTCTCATAAGCTCTTGATTTAATTCTTCTTGCAGAGGATCTCATTCCTCATGTAAATAATTTGTGGTTGGAATAAGAGCTAGATTGATGTTTATGTTTTGGAAATTCTAACAATTAGCTGGCAATCTGGTCATTTATGTCATTGAATTCCATTTTTAGAAAATCATGTGTACCAAAAAATCAGTTCCACATCTCTCTCTCTCTCTCTCTTCTTTTTTTTAATACTAAGTACCACAGACTTAAATCAAGGTTATGATCCCCTTGCAGCGGATGGTACCTTAAATAGCAGGCAGGAAAACTCAACACAAAGTACAAGATATGAATGCAATAAACCTCTTGTTTTGCCACCTTTGGAGGCTGATTGGGTCTTTTCCTGCAGGTATTGCATGAAGAGGAAATAAGAGTGGTTTAATTTTTTGCCTTTAGTTTTTCTGAGCTTTCAAGCAATATTTTCTGCTGCTGCCTCTGTCCTCCTAACGGAACTGGCACTGTGCCCATAAGTCTGAAAGCCTTTAAGGGATGAGAGAAGTGTACACAAGAATATTTGTCATTTCCAGAATCATCTAAGCCAAGTGATACCCACAATTTTCCCATTTTTGGTATCAGATCTGAAGTCTTCTATCAAGTTGATTAAACCAATATAAATAACTGTTTTGCAAAATCTGCACACACACACACACACACATATCATTTTATGCTTTAGAAGTGTGAAATTCTGCCGACAAAAATCAATTTTATTGTCCATATTATCCTGTACTTTAGTGACAAACAGAAAAGCTGGGGAAATCCACTCAGCTGCCGGTCAGATGGGAGGATTCAGTGAGCTCCGTTGGTGTCTGCAGATTCTTGTGATAGAAACTGCATCTGTGAAACAGTGTGCGGGGTTTGGGATTCCCTACTCTCCGTGTAATTGAAACAGCCCGTCATTTCCACCTTTGTTATCTGTCTGCAATATTAAGTGTCATCTTTTAAATGCGGTTAAGTTTATGTAGGCTACTGCATGTAAACAGTACTGCATGCATACGTATAGTGGTGTAAAAAATTATTAAAAAAACCTGATGATTCAACCTTTTTCTTCAAAATACTACTTTTTGACCAAGTTAGCAAGTAATAACTGAGGTACAAAAATGAATATATTTGGTAAAAATTAGTATTCAAAGAATAGTATGTGTACTTTTGTTATATTTCAAGCTCAGATATGTTGTTTGATTTCTAGCAGCATCTCTGAAAATATTCAAACCTATCTCTAATATACCAAATTGAGTTATTTTATTTAGACAATTGAATTCAGTCACACAGGCAAGAGTAATCATGGCAGTGAACTTAGTTTTATGTGTTTGGGTTGATTTTTTTTTAAATTTTCTCCTCGATTACTTTGAAAAAAGTTAATCAGTTTTTAAATCATATTTTAAAAGAGGAGCTTTTCATCTGCTGAGGATATGTATGCTAAATTTCAGGTCAAAGTGAATTTTCTTTCTGTATTGTGTGATCTTACGTCTTTGAAGTCTGTGTGGAAGGGATCTTGCTGATTTCAGAGCCCTTAGGCCCAGGCCCAGAGGTTAAACCCTCTTAAAAAAAAAAAAAAAAGAGGAGAAGGGGAAAGAGCTGTCCAAATGTGATTGAAACGTATGGGTGAATTATGAGCTTCAGCTCTAGTGAGGTTGTTTGGCAGCACATGTATTTAGGGCTTAACGTAAAGTTAAAGGTTCTATTTTTCAAACTCTTGGAGCTATAGTTGCCAACATGGGCTCAGATATAGGAAAGCATAGCTCTGAACATAGAGAAACACCCCTCTCTTTTTCTGTGGACAGCTTATTTGATCACTGGAATGACATCTTGGCTTTTATCTGCACTTGTCAGTAGCCATTCTGTTTGCACAGAGCAGAAGTGCCCAACCCGCACTGTTGCCCTCTTTCTTCTTCCTTTTCATGAGTATAATGACAAAGGATAAATCATGTCACTCCCTCAGTTCATCTTGCAAAGCCTCCCTTAGAAGTGTGGAAACTGTCATATAGAGTTGACTCGAAACACTGTAAAATAAAAATAAAGTGAACTAAAATTAGCTTGGCTAAGATTAGAAATTCAAGTTATAAACATTGATCTGGTCTATGTGACATTCATGAGCTGTGGCCATGGCATCCGTTTTGTTTTGAGGAAAGAAAAACCTTACATGATTTTTTTGTCTGAGCAATAAGTAAAGGGAAAAGGTATTTTTCTAAGCCTTGTTCTCAACAAGCAAGCATTGCTTATGATGCTCTTTCTTTTTCCCTCTGCATCCTCTCCTCCTGCAGAATCTCATCGGGAATTCCTTCACAGGCCTGCGTCTGGATATGTGCCAGAGGAGATCTGGAAGAAAGCTGGTAAGAACTGTTTAAAAACACCAGCTTAGTCTTCTGGCAGCTGTGTACAGTTGTTAATGTACTGATGTGAGGAATGGGGAGGTGGGGGAAGGACTTACTAGTAACAGGAAGAAATTGTGTTTAATAATCTTAAACTGGAACTGATCGGGACATTAAATAATTTTATAATACAAGCATCTGCTGCTATAGTTAGGGGAATATCAGTACTCCCAATAAGAACCCCTATTTTCAGGGTTTCTAATGGTTTCTGGCTGAAACTTGATATGTTAAAGTTTCAGTCTGTTAGCAATTTAAAAAAAAGTGTGGGGGGTTGTGTTTTTATTTAAGCTTCAAGGTTCTTACCTAGTTAAGGTAAGAATTCCCAAAGGAGGTGAAAAAAACTAAGTACACCTGTTAGAGAAAAAACTTAAAGTATACATTGTAACTATTTTTAATTTTAAAAAGATTATGTACCCGTCAACCCCCAGTGAAACCTGTGCTCATAAACCTGCAAAGTTTTCAATTAAGCAAGCAAGTTAGCATCTCTGCAGCTGCTCTGGGTGTTTGCAGTGGCATTGACAGCATCTGCCCATTCCTGGAAAGCACCCTGTGCCTAAGTTGTCGCTGTGCAAAGTTTTCTTCAACACTTTGAAACTCTGCCTAAGCACAGGAGTTTCCTAGCGGGGATCCCACTGTGGTGCTGGAGCTAAACCTTTGCTCCTTTGACACTGACGTCAGAGCTTCCTTGTTTTCGGAGGGGCCTGAAGGCAGCTCTTGAACTCCAGCGAGGTAGTTGAGCTTCTGTATGTACACTCATACACACCCCCCTCCTTTTGAACACCTGTATAACCATGAAGTCTACAGCACCTGTCTGAGCAGCAGTTAATGACTAAATGGTAAATATGCAGCAGTTTTGATGCTTTCTGATCAAATCTCCTGTAAATTTTTGCTGCTTTCCATTGTATTTTAAACAAGATACAGAGCATACATGTAAAATGTTATGCTGGCATACTGTTGCATCAGACAAAAGGTTGTGTTTTGTGTGTCATACGGGTTTATCATGTGAAGTCTACATCTTTTAATATGTTAATGTTTTTAGAATTATTGCATTTTCTGTGAAAAATAGCAATGTACATATTTTTCTTTTTATCCAAGGAAAGTGTAGCCTTTGTAACTCAGTGCCTGAAAGTATTTTTATAGTTTGTTTTTCCATATTTAACATCTTAAATAAAAAATATAAAAGAAATATACAGTCCTAGAAAAATCTCAGTAAGAGGAACATTGTTGAGTTGAATTTCAAAACCTTCATTCCTCTTGCAACATCTAGGATTTCACGTCACTTGGCATATCAGGTCATTTATGTCTCATAGGTGCAATGCAAAAAAAGAAAAAAGTTTCTTCATAGTTAGCACAAGTTCATTGAAGCTTTTGACTTGAGTTATAAAATTGGATGTGCATTCACATTACATGTACCCACAAATGGTAGTGCACAGGAGCTGTGACGTCATCCTGTGAACTTCTATGTCATCAGTTCCTTTGAAATAAAGCTTTTCCTTTTGTCCTATTTCCAGTTTCCTGTTTTCAGGCTGATGTGGGCTTAAATCAACTGAGCATGCCTGTGAATTGGAGAAAAAAAGTATGACTCTTTGCAGGATGCATACTTGTATCTGCTTCCAAGTGTAATCAAACATCAGAAAGCATATTGCTTTCATAAATCATGGGCCTGCATTTTCAGGAGGGTGCATTGAAGTTGGAGGTCTCCACAATTTCATGATCACTTCAAGGCAGTAAAGGTGCAATTCAGCTCTGTAAGAATAGGTCTCTAATGCCATTTGAGATGCTCCATAGTTTCCTGGCTGGGCTGCAACTGCCAGTTAAGAAGGCTACAAGTCTCTCAGAGGTAATTTCTGCTGGCTCAATGTAGATCTCTTGGTATGTCAAATATCTGTAAAGACAAGCGTACAGACAGCTGAATCAAGTATGAAAGTCTGTTTGGGATGCTGAATTCATTGCATGGAAAGAATGTGGCATAAAAACAGTTAAGCAATCTCAAAAGCATGTGGAAAAGGGATTCACTTTAAACTTCTGGAGATCGATAGACTCCAGTGTAATTATTTAAATATACTAAGTTAGACACGTGCTTTTGTGATTGTTGAAGTTAAGAACATATTTTGCAGTACCTTGTGAGTTAAAGTCATGTGAGCCCAATTCAGTTTCATACGTCAGTAGAAAGCAGTCATCAGTGCCCTGATTCACCTCATTGAATTACGGATATAGAGATGAAGAGTCCAAGACAAGTTCTTGGTGCTCCTCAGTAGTTACGAGGGAGGCAGGCAGGCAGGTAATGAGGATTGGTCAGATCATAAGTTGGATGGCTTGCTCTCTGGAAATACCTATTTGTCTTTATTAAATACAGAGAGGGTCCTAGGCCTCTCTGGGAGAGAGAGTGGGCTGCTGCCATAGTTTCTTCTGTGACATGCAGAAACTGTCTTCCTGTCACTTAGCCAGGCCCATTGTCCATGGCAGTCCAGTTGTAAGCTCTGGAGCTACAAAAGAGGTGTGAAATGATCATACTTTTGTTGTACAAAGACAGTAAGGGTCCTGCACATTGTACAGACTAGTCCTGAGAAAGAGATGGTGCATTTTGGGATAGGATGCTGAGACAACTCTTGTCACCAAGTGCCGATGGCCGCCTTTGCCAGGGTCACCCTGAGAGTGAGATGGTGCAAAATGTTGTGATGGCGCAGGACTGCATATCTGCCCACCACCTTTCTTTTCTCATCCTGTGGAGCAAGTGTGCCCATGATGTGAGGGAGGTGACCAAGAGCTGGCTGGTGAATCATCATGTTGGGTGAAGAATGAGCTGAGTACCTCTCCTGAGTCTGCAGCAAGGACCTCAGACGGTGCTGAGTAACGCCTATTCCACACAAGCTGTTTCCTTCCTGGAGCTTCTCTCATGAGTTATCGCTACTCAAAGATTTCAGCTGCATTCCTAAAATGATGAGTGAGTTTGTGCCAAGAATGCTTAGTGTTGTTGGGAAGGCCAAGGATGCAGGTACATGCATCTTAGATACTTGGTTTTTAAAAACTTCCAGATTTATGTTTTCTGATCTTGGAATCTCGTCGCTCTTCCTTTCTCTGGAAGTGCAGAGAAAAGAAGAGTGCCAGAATCATTCTTATCTTCATTGCTCAGCATTGTCAAGGCAAATAAAATCTCCTTCACTGTCACCCATAACTTTTCCTGCACAGATATGACACTCTTCATTGTTGTCTTAAACTATGTAGCCTGAATTCTATGTCTATAAAATATCAGTAGGTAGTGGAAACATGTAGTTTGAGAAGCTGTGAAGAAAATCAGCGATACAAAATTTTGTCTAGTTTATTTGAGTGTTCATGAGTTCACAGTATATTGAAATAATGATGGTACATTGTCACCAAAACCTCCAACGTATTTTAATTATTTGTTTTCACACTTAGTATAGCACAACACGAATTCTGTCATCAAAGTTAATGGAAATACTAAAATCTAATCCATAGTTTAAGCCAATTAAAAAGTATCAGGCATATGGCCTCTTAAGCATTTTCAGCATCTTCACGCTCTCAGAAGCTTTGCAAAAAAACTTCCACAATACAGAAGATAGAATTTAATTTTCAGTTTCTGTATTTGGACTGAAAAGTAGCTTAGCTAGGATGAAAAACTAAAATTAGAAGTCCCTGTGAAAATGTTGGAATATTTTGCTTCTGTCTAATATAAGAAACTGTCATTTCTAACCACTGCAAACACCTAAACATAAAACTGAATTTATCTGATGTAATGAAAGTGCATCATGCCATACAAAGATAATTTCTATCTGTAGCAAATACCAGAAAGAATACAGATTTTCTTACAGAAATCCACTTTGTTAGTAACTGCAGTTCATAGACACGAAATGCCTGTATTTAAGTTGCCTCATTTTTATGAAAATGGTAATAAAATTGCATCTGTATGTTTGCCTGTGTATATTTCTTTTTTCGTGATCAGTGAATGGTTGCAGTTGGTAATAAATATTCAAGCACCTTGCAAATGTCCTACCAATTCCCTTTGCTGATCAGTGTGTGCCTCTGGGACTAGAATAGGAATGCATAATTTAAATATAAATTGCCTGATTTGCATATACAATTAGACTAGCTGTAGCTTTGATCGTAAGCAAAAATTATTGTCCTGTATTGCCACTTAGATAGAATTTTAATTCACCTTGAATATTCAAAGTAAATTAAGCCTTGGCTATATGGCTGAAGGGTATGATTTTTTCCTCTCCTGAGGCTTTCCCCTAAACAACATTTATGGTAGGGTAATATAAGGGCATATTTTCAGCCTCATAAAAATAAAGGCATAAGTTTTATCTCTAAATCCTTCCCCACCCCCTTGATAACTTCAGTTGAAACATCTCTTGCAGACATGCACACACGTAACACGCACACATACCCTCAATGGAACTCTTCTTTCATTTTAATTAGTTCCGTTTCAGTTCGGTACATGGCTTAAAGTTAAGGCTTTTTTGTAATTTGCTTAATAACTGAAAATGGATACTTCACGTAGTTCTTATTTTTTAGCAGCAAGTGCAGAGCTATCAGACACAACTCAAGAGAGTGACAGAGTATCTGTAGGTAAGGGCTAGGTCTGCGTCCATGTGCGTGTACACAAATACATGGGCTAAATACATGGACTAAAATTCAAACCCGTAACACCAATGTAATACTTAGATTTTAATTTACAGTAAAACATTTTAAATAAAAATCTATGTTTTTAATTAAACAGAACATTTAATTAAGGTGGTTTCTAAGTGCATGAAACAATTAAGAGCAAACACTTGAATGAAACATGTCATAATTAGTTTTAATAGAGTGTTAATTGGTACTAGGTTTGCCAAGTTAATAATTACTGCTTATTAAATTTTCAATTAATCATTGTCATTTTGCTTTGAATAAAGATGAAAATTAGATAAACTAATTCAGGGGGAGGATGGTTTCCTTGTTAATTAGAGCAGCTAATTAAAAAAAAAAAAAGAAATTACTTGTTTTAGTTGTCAATTAAAAGACTGTTCATTAGTAAAATTTTTGCACCCTTCTTGCATCAAAACCCAGATAACCGATTTGAGACAATCCGTATTTTCTGGAATAAAAGATATGACACTAGTATATACCAAAGAAAGGGTTCAAACTGTAGTTGTTTTACAAGAAACATAAAGGTTTCAGTTTAATGAAGCGGTGTGCCCCTGCTCAGTGTTAACTGTGTGCCGAAGCCTTGCTGGCCAGGGTGTGCTCCAGAGCTCAGTGGAGCCAGGAAGTTGAGTCTTCAAGTATAAATATGGATTTGAAGGAGAGATCAAGAGGTCAAATGAATGTTCATAAACAAATTTTAATTTTCTCTCATAAAACTATATGTCCGGGAAAAGATATTAGACCAGTGATTTAAAATTTTTATGTAAACTCTTGGGGTTTTTTTAACTTCATGTATTTGTTTTTTAACATATTGGGGGAAAAAATTGTTAAAGACTGTAAATCCTGTCTTAATTTCCAGAGCTTAAAGATAATTTTTTAAAAAGTCTGTAATATCATGTTAAAACAATAATTATTGTCAAACCTCTTTATCTGTGCTGCAAAACCAGTTTTCCAGTGTTCAAATAGATTGCAATTATATTGTGCCAGAGATCTGAAATGACTGTACCTAAAGAAATACTGACTGTGAATCAAAATAGCAAGAATCATCACAAGTTAGAGACTTTGATGATGGGGAAGTAGAGAAGCACCTCAGTGGTCTTGAAGATTCTCGAGGAACCAGATTCCTCTGTGTCCCTCTATTCAGAATGAAGACTGTCATAATTGAGAATAATCTCAACATAGTAATAGTGATGCATTTCCCATGTCAGTCCCACATAGCCCTGTGCCAAACATCCTGTGCTGATGAGGATTTCTTCCCTCCTTTGCAGAGGAAGCTGTCAATGAAGTCAAGCGCCAGGCGATGGCTGAGTTGCAGAAGGCAGTGTCGGAGGCAGAGCGGAAAGCTCACGACATGATCACTTCAGAGAGAGCCAAGATGGAGCGCACTGTTGCCGAAGCCAAGCGCCAGGCTGCAGAGGATGCACTAGCTGTTATCAATCAGCAGGAGGATTCAAGTGAGGTAAGGACCTTGCTGGGCAAGCATCACCTGTGGCTGCAAAGCATACGTGTATCTGAGCTGGCTTCATTCTGGCATAGGCTGTTTGTGTGACACAGGACATCAGTGCCCACCATTAACTCTTCGCACAGTTGCTTTGGACGTGTATTCCAGGCGTACACTGAGTTCCAAATTTTCTTGGCTGTGTAGTAATCTAAGCGCAAAATAGCTAGTGCACTTGAGCTGTGTTCTCACCTTTTAACTGCTGTTCAGGGTTACATATAAAGTGCACATTGCTGTTCTAACTTGGCTTTTCAGTAGCTTCATTTTAAAGCTCTTTAAACTGCCACACTGGATAAATAAGATTGCTCAGTGGAAAACATTTGACGAATCTAATTTAGACCAAGAAATTATACATGTAAGAGATTGTAGAACAAGGTGGCTAAAAGCTTGTCTGGGGAAAGTGTTGGATGTAGAAGCAATTAGCAAAAGATGATGGTTCCTGTAGGACAGAATGTGAAAGTAAATTTGGAAGTGTTTCCTTATTTTAAATGTGTTGCTTTGGCTGCAGGGAGTATTTCAGAGTTAAGGAGTGGGCAGCATATGGAAGGAGGAAAAACAGACTGAAAGAACCAAGAGTAAAACGAGAATAAATATGATAAGCCTTGATATACTTTCCAACCTGAGAGTGGAAAACCTTGAATTGTTGTGGTACAGGACATCTGACACCATGACTAGCTGGAAGCTGGGAGTGAAAGAGCAGTGTGTGTTTGACCAGTGCTGCATCAGTCTAGATAGCAATTAAATTTTATGCCTCTTATAGAAAAACAGAGTCCTAAGTTAAAACTGCTCTTAAAAACAGACATGACAAAGAAATTATGTCAGTTAAAATTTTTGTATATCATCTCCATTCTCAAGACCACTGAAGTGAAAGAGCGTTACCTTCATGAAGTATTTATTGTTCTTATGTGAACATCTTGACTGTAGTAAACCCACTTTTTAATGTAAATTTTAAACAGCAGGGAGTTGGGAAAAAGAGTAGATAGCAGTACCTGTTGTGTGGGACATATATTTGTGTACACTCATGTATAAACACTTTCTGTGGACTGGATGGGCAGTGTTATAGAAGAGTCGCTTCAGTTGAAAGATGCAGATGAGCTGGCTGCAGCACGCTGAGAACACTGGCAGAAATCACATGAAGATAAGTCAGTGGCATGCTGCAGTATGCATCTGTAATTTGAGGGAGCATAAGATTTTAATTCATACCAGGCCTCTCTGGAGATGAAAGACCATTGTGGGATCACTGAATGCCCAGAGTTTCTCCTTAATGTGTAGCAGATGAATAACAAGGAGACAAAAGGAATTGATTTTCAGCATCTGAAAGTTTCTCAGGAAGAAAGGGACCGGGGGAAGTGTATGTACCCTTTAAGCACTAACTGTTCCACTGTAGATTAAAATAGACATAAATTCAATTTATTGGCCTTTTGTATCTAAGATACTCAAGGACATTTTTGCTGCACTGTTCTTAGAAAGGGCATTTTTCTGACATAGCATCATTAAGGAGCTGTCATTTTGTGTGTGTATATATACAAGAGACGCCTATTGTTAAAACCAAAATTCCAAAGATAAATGCCTTTGGAGGAAACAGCAAATTAAATCTGTTTAGTGAACTGATACAGTGTAAGCAGGACAGAGGAAGTACTTATGTGCCAATACACACAGCCCATTTTTCCACAAGCAAATGTGTATTCAAAGGAATGCATAGAGAGTTTGTGTGCTGTAATTAAGTCCTGAGCAGTCAAAGCTCTGGAAAAAGCAGTATAACAACAGACATCTTTACTTCTTCTCCGGCAGAATTGATTACGAGATTTTTCACTTCTTGGGAATGGGACTTCAGGCAAACAATCCTTTTAATTGCGCTCTAATTAAATGTGTCTCATAAGGTTATAGGTGTTCTCAGGGCTGTGTGTCCTCAGGGAGGTCACAAGCCTCCTGGACCTAGAAATAAAGTCTGGTGTCCTGGTCCTGCAGCTTTCACCCCTGTGTGGTACATGAGTGTCCACACAGGGTGGTTGTTTTGAGGTGGAAAGTGCAAGTTTTAGTAAGCCATGAGAGAGAACTCAGGTTTGCTAAGTTCGTGTTTACAGGTGCTTAATTAACTGTGAAGGGAGATGACGGCAGTACTTGTTTGAGAGTTAGATATGTCTGTATATAAGTAATTCCTCTTTAATTTCTAATTATGACAAACTCCGGAGTGTTAGGGGTGATGCTTCTCACAATTACCTGTCTTTTTTTTCCCATGGGTGACTCCTGTAAGAATGGACTGGCCTTTTCCTTCATCTTTGAGGACAAGATATTATTTTACCAGCATTTGAAAGGTGTTTCTTTCGTGATGAGACCTTGTGTTTTTTGAGTTTGAGGAGTAAAACTCCCCATTTGCTTTGGTGTTCATTCTCTCACGCATCTGTCTGTGGATGTCCCTCCTCTTTTGTCTAGGTTATAAGTCTCCATAAACCTCTCTCTGTTTACAGCTTTCAGCAGAACGCTTCCAGCAACACAGATGCCTGTGTACTTAAGGCGCTGGAGTAAAATTTCTAGGGCTAAAATATTTCCAGTTTCAAATATGAGACTGTTGAAATGCAGCTTCTACAGTCTTACAGGTCTAGAGGGGGAAGGCCAAGCATCCCTCCTCATTTCTTATCCTTGGTGGGACATTACACCAAGGCCTGCAAGACAGCGCAGTGTAGGCTGCTGTATAACCTCCACGTAGTTCCTGACAGAGAATATTTCTCCCATAGGTGTCATTTGTTCCTTTGGCTGCTGAAACCATGAATGGAGATGAGAATTTGGCACTGGGTTTCTAATGTATCAATATAATTTTCATCTGATATGGCCACTCCCTGTCTATTGGCAAGGTTTCTCCCTTACAGCTCTTCATTTGTTATTCAGTAAAATGCAGCCTGGACCTAGCTGAGGCTTCTTGAAGCTATTCTGGTGTGAGAACTTTGTGGCATGATTTTTATTGCAGTCTGCTCCAGAGCTCAAAGTGATAACTAGTACCAAGGATTAACTAGCACTCAGGATTTTTGTAATTTTTGTAATTTTTGTAATTTTTGTAATTTTAAGATAATATCCTTATTTTTATTATATCCTTATTATCTTATTTTAAGATAATATCCTAATATTTTAAAGATAATATCTTTAAGATAATATCTCCTCATCCAAAACCTTTTAGAGGTCTCACAAAGATAAGTAGATTGGGCTTTTGATATTCTTTGTTGATGTTGTTGTTTTTATGTGGGTTTTGTGGGTTTGTGTGGGTTTTTTTGGTGTTCTGTTTTGCTTTGGTTTTAACCCAGAAAAAGTAGCATCCCTGAGTGCAAGATTGTCTACAAGAAAAAAGTGAAGTTGGGCATGTTAAAGCTGACCAGACCAAAATTATGGGAGCACAGGACAGTAAGAAGGCTAATAGGAGAGGTGTGATATTTGGAAGTATCTTGACTTTTAAGAAGTGGTCTACAATATTTTGAGAATTATCACATTACATAGTATAGTTTTCTAACTATAGAATTTCTAACCCTGACCTGATCTCTTGTTGAATTATTGCTCTTTACTTATGTTTGAATTGTTCAGCACAATTTAATTGGCAGTGCCCTTGATTCAGTGTCTGTGCTTTTACTTTCTAAAGATCTCCGTAGTTTCTTCACATAAGGCCTTGCAAATGACCAGGATGTGTTTGTGATTTTCTGTTATTGAAATTAGTTAAGGACCAGCTAACAGAGCACACTGCTGTTGGAAGGAAAAACGACCAGAAGTCCTACCTGTCAGCATGGCTGCTCCTGAACCACAATTATTTCTTTACCAGTTCCTTACAGTTGCTTTACAAAAGATGACCCATTCATCAGTAGTTGACTTGGCTAAGTACAGAAACATGTGTGAGCAGCCTACTCTTTAATGACTGCAGTGCTTGCTTTGGCTGCAATGTACTGTTGTGCAAATCAGTTTTAATAGTAAGGGTGAACAGCTTAGCAAAGAGACTGGCTGCCCAGATTGTAAGAGGGGGTGGGATCCTCAAAACATCTGTCTTTCTGCTGTGGTATAAAATGCCACTGAAAAATCTGACACTCAGTGTTCTTCCTCACTTTTGAGTAGAATGGGGGCTGGGGACAGGGAAGGAGCACAAATGTTTCAGTTCTCTCTACTTAAAGCAGATGCTGACATCTGCTCAGATAAAATGGGTATGTAATGGTCCAACACTGCTTTTAGGAGATGTGTAATGTTAGGGCTTGCTTATATTGCAGCAGTTCATTTTGTATGTGAATATCACACTTACCTGACGTTTTGAAGACAGCTGGTTTCAATCTCTGATGACCAATCCACTGAGACCAGGACTGTGCCAGCAAAGCTGACTGAGCATCAGATGGTGTGATTCAGGCAAGCCTAGTTTTTAGGCTGGTATTAAATTTAATACCTGTGTCAGCTAATGTTTAATTTTTTTGGCTGAGCGTCTCTTGGAAAGTAGCACATCATCCCCTGCAGTGGTGGGTGGTACAGAGGCGCCAGAGCGATGTGCTCTGCACAGGATCAGTCCAGATGTGATGTGAACATTGTCACTGCCCCAGACTGCTAAGCTAAGCCTGGTTAGCCAGCTCGCACGTCTGCTCTGTATGCTGCTCTGTACTTCTGTTTTCAGGATTTAGCTACTCTTCGCTGACTTAAATGAACATTGATGTATTTCACACAGTAAACAGTGGCTTGGGCAAGCCTGGAGTGTTCAGTGATAGGTGTAACTTTACTAGAAACATCTAAAGGTTCAAATGTCATTTTGACACAGCGTGGGAATTTCTGAAGTACCAATATGTTTCCCTTTCTAATGAGTCTTGGATAAAATTCTCATAAACAACTTTGCTAGGTTTTTTACTGCTATTCAGCAGCTCATACAGTCCTTGTTTACGCCACTGTGGTTTCATTGATTTCTAGATGTTCTTTTTCTTGTGGTTAGCAGTGGTAGAGTTTTGAATGCCATGGGCATTGCAGAAATGGGAAAAATCTGTGTTCTTCCTACCCAGCCATGCTTCCTTTCATGGTAAACTGAGGAAATCCAGAATTTCTTTAAGATGATAGAGCAAGGGGTTTTTTTTTGTCTTAATTAAGCAACCTCTGTCCTAAGTCTCAGTTGGAGGTGTCAGAGGAAAGCAAATACTCAATTGTGGTTGACTATTTCAGAGATAAAAGCAACAGGATGGGCAAAATTATTGACAAGTGTGTGTTCTGGCACTGGAGACCACAGAAATGGAAACCATTTGTTTTTAAAAATTTTCATGATGGCAAACAGAAGTTTCTGAGTTCTGTTGTTTGAAGATGGAAGCTTAAATGCATGAGAATTAAGAATTTGACCTAAGATAAGGCTCTGACCTAAGACTGATGTTCCTTGTCAGTTGAAAGAGGAGGATGAAATATGATCGGTGGCATAAATTCGTAGTGAGATTCCCATCTGGTGTAATTTAGCCCAATTTCATCGAATTAATCCATTTTCAAGGTAGAGAAGTTAAATTGAATTGTGTAGTCTGAGAATCTGGCCTTTTGTATAACCCCACTGATTCACAGGCAAATCAGTGTAGAGTTGAGCTGCAATCCAGTCCTCCTTGTAGTTTTAGCTACATCTGGAACTCTGTAGTGTAGAGCACGAGCTGGAAGTGCAGTGTAGTAGGTCACTACCTAAAGATGGAGATATAGACCAGCAGAGGCTTTGAGAGATCAGCTACTCCCTTTCTCTACCCATGATCAACTCCAGCTGAATCATTCCTGTAAGATCGATACCTGCTTTATCTGTACTTTAATGATGGAGATTCTTCAGCACCTCTAGGCAATTTTTGCCTGTCCTTAACAGATGTTTGATCCCATTCCTTCTGCTTATCTATGTACACATAGATTTAGACATTCACTCCAGTGATGTTTGGGTGCTACTGTCCCCTCTCAGGCTACCATCTCACCTTAGGTTTAACAGTCTGAGTTCATTCAATCTCTTCTCATAGCCTGTGTTTGTCTGACTTCTGATTATTCTGACTTCCATTCTCCAGGTTCTTTCCAAGTCTTACTAGTCTTACTTGATTTGCGGTATTTGAAGTGCATCATCCCAACCTGGACAGTGCTCTAGGCTAGATCTTGCCAGTACTAGGAGATAGAGAGTCTTAAATAATGTGTAAAGCAGTCCACAGTTGTGATCATATGCCCTTGTATGAAGATTGCCACCTTGTATGAAGATTGACATTGTGGTCACCTGTTGTCCAAGATGCTGTCTACACAGTTCAGCAAGGATGCTCCATTTTGCTGGTTCCTGCTACAGCATCCCAGGAGGGAAAATACCTTGAGTATGTTCAGTCCCATAGTGAGCTCGAGCTCTGTCTGTTATAGCTGGATCAATTTGAAATACGTGAGCAGCAGAGGCATGTGAAGCACAGCCCAGGCTAATAGCTGGCATCTTGAGCCTGGATTTTCTTTGGTAGAATTTGAGGCTATCAGCCAGCAGTGTGAACAGAAAGCATCTGTTTCCAAAGGTTGCAGTGCCCAAGCCTGATCTTGACTTCTGTTTTTCACTACTCACACACAGGAAGGAGCAACGAATGGCCACAATGGTGAGGGCTGTGTAGGACAGAGAGTTCCACATGTCAAATCCAGCTGCTATCACAGTGCAAGCTCCCCATGACATGTGTGTTTCTTCACACTAATTTGCACTGTAGTAATTTTTAAATGCAATAAGTTGTTAAATAAGTGTGAGCTGTAAAATTTATTTTGAAATTCTTGTATTTTATGTGCTTTTATTCCCACAATTACGCTAAAGCTGTAATGACCTGTTAAATTAGAAATAATATGTCCAATGGACAAAATCACATACCAAACAATGTAGGACACATTAAGGAATCATGTAAGGAGACAGCTTAGTGCTTTGCCACTTCATTAAAATCTTGCACCTTTGTATCACTTTTCACGTTCTAGACAGGCTGATAGTTAATTGATGTCTATTTTAATAAGAATGTTGAACCCATACTGTTAAAATTAAATTACTATTTTCTGACATCAGGTCTTGGGGTAAGATACTGAAATACTGTGTGGTGACTCTGGTCACATGTGGAGACAGTTCTGTGTGTGCAGATGGGCTTTCCTCAAAAATGGAAGCAAAATGAAGGTTCCTCAGAAGCTGACCTGTATTAACTAAACAGATGCTTGAACAAGTCAAGTTTGACATCCTCATAATAATTCCCACACAATTAAACCATGCACTTCGATGTTGCTAACAGATTGCATAAGGGAGTAATTCCTGCACCTGGGCAGTTACTGGCTGATTTCAGCATAAAGTCTGCATGGGGAGGTTTTGTGCATGTGAATTTGTTTTCAAGTGAGGGGATAAAGGGAAATACGCACCAAAGCCAGGACTGGCAATTCAGTTGGAAACGAATAGCTAGGAGGTCAGCAAGCATGGCAGTAGGTGGAAACTCTGTGCAGGCACTATTGGAACAGAATTACACTGTGTTTCCTGATCACAGTACAAGCATCAAGCTGTCAAAATGAAACTTTCATTAGTGTGATGCAACTGTAAAGAAATACTAGAATAGCAAAAGAAGGAGAATCCAGGTATATCACACTTTGTTATCTTTCTGGTAGCAGGATGAGTCATTGTATCTCTTTGAAATGCTAATACAAACGTGTCAGGTCATTTTGGTGTATGTGTAAATATGTCTGTGTGTATGTGTTTGTGTACAGTGGTCTAAATTACTTATAGTTATTTTTCATTGTGGAGATAAAAGGTGTTCAAGAATAGTACAGCTATCCGTTTCTAAAGGTGGATTTACCTCTCCAGCACTGGACAGAGTACGAGCAAAAAGAACCCAAAACAATGAACGCTGAATCAAAACCAGGTGATGCCAGACAAGGAGTCTGAATTCCTGACATTCAACTACCAGAAACATCTGTTTCTGTGTGTTGGTAATTCCACCTTTTTTTAAAGTGTTTTTAAAGATGGGAACAATTTTATGAATTTAAAAAAAAAAAAGTCCCCAACACATGTATCTGTAATTACCTGGTTTAGTCTGTGTGTTTAATCAGTATGAATTGAGAATGCCATGTACCTTTGATTTCAATCTCAAAGAACAATTGAGCACTGGGCTGTTACTCTTCCCCCATCTGCCAGTACGTGCCTATGCAAAAAAACAACCAACCAACCATCCAAAACAACAAAAAATAGCAAAAAGGGGGAAAATGGAACTAACATAGGGATATTTTCTAAAGAAACCACTTGATTCCAATTAAATGTCTAATTTCCTTAAAATACTGTTTTGGATTTAGGTCTTTGTTTGATTCTGAAATTGGGAATTAGTTTTTAAAGTAGTTGAGGAATATCACTTAAGGATTGGCTGTGTTCCAGCATCCAACTGGCAGAGCTATAGAGTGTGTTAAAGTGAATAAGCACACATATTCTTCAGTGGCTTCCCTATCCTGCCAAAGATTTAGGCTCTAGCTTAACTGTTCACTGCCAGAAGTGCCACTGAGTCAAATGGCATTACTCAGACAATTGAAAATGAAGTTTTCCTAGGGTAGTAAGTTTTACCTGTGTGTTAAGTCTTTTTTCCCCTTTCTTGTCTTGCATTAGTCCCTCTCCACTTTTGGAAGAACGGGGTTTTGATGTATGCGTGTTTCATTACTTGTTTTAGTAAATCTGTGAGAGGAGCTAGCTGAAGTTTTACTGAAATTTTCTATTAGTGAGTATGCTGCTGCTGATGGCCGGATGTGAGGGCATACTTGGAGTTTGCATCATTAGTACTGGCAAATAGCTGCTTCTATTCTTGCCCAGTTTCTGAGGGCCAGAGTCCCCCAGGTGACCAGAGCTGCTGTAGAACAGGTTCAGACACCCAAGGTGTAGCACCTACTGATGCCTTAGCTGTTCTTAGGCAGAGGGTTGACTAGCAGTTCCCTGGCAGCTGTTTTTAGTGTAAAATTTAGGACACTAGCTGATTTCTCCCCTCTCTCTCCCTCCTCTTTTGCTTCTAGAGTTGCTGGAACTGTGGCCGGAAAGCTAGTGAAACCTGCAGTGGTTGCAACACAGCAAGATACTGCGGCTCATTTTGCCAGCATAAGGACTGGGAGAAGCACCATCACATCTGTGGACAGACCCTCCAAGCCCAGCAGCAAGGAGAGACACCAGCAGTGAGCTCCTCCGTGACACCCAGCAGCGGGGCCGGGAGCCCCATTGACACTCCACCAGCAGCTACTCCTCGGTCCACCACCCCAGGAACCCCATCCACCATAGAGGCGACTCCTCGTTAAAACTGAACTCGAAACTCCGGAACAAAAACACAGCAGAAAATGAAACCAATTCCTCATCCTCAGATGCGCAAAGATTTTAACTGAACTGTCATATTTCAATACTTCAATAAGAACTTACTGTATCTTGAGGTGGTAGAAAATACGTAAGGCCAGTAACGGGTCATAATGACTTATTGTGGATAACAAAGATATCTTTTCTTTAGAAAACTGAAAAGAGAGCAGAGAATATACACAAAATGATAGATTTGACCTCCTCCCTGTTATTTTCCAGTAGCTGGGATTTTAAACTAGATGACCTCATTAACAGATGCTTTACCAAACAGCAAACCAAGAGATTGCTAATGCTGTTGAAAGCAAAATGCTAATATTAAAGTCACAATGTTCTTTATAACAATAATGGAAATTAAATAAAAAAAGAGAGAGAGAAAAAAAAATAACCCTCAAGGGCATGAGCATTGGATACAGCAGTAGACATTTTAACAAGAAGATGAATGGCGTCCGTGGGTTACTGACTGAACTTTGAAGACCCGCATCAAAACACGCAGATGTGCAGCAGATTGGAAGGAGACACAGATGTTCATTTTTTTCCTGTTTCTAAAAGAAATAAAATAATATCCAGGTCAACAGAATGAAAAATGAAAGATGATTTGCAGTGGGATGTAGGACTACAGCAGCAAAGAAAAAAAATGCCATAATACAAAAGGCTTTTTTTTTTTCCTTTTAAATACAGAAATAAGGGACACAGCCTGCAGTTAATTAGCATCCTGGCGGCTTTGACATCAGCCAGCTGCTCCAACTAAACCTTTCAACATTTCTTCACTTTTTTTGCAAGGTTCCACAGAGTATGACAATCGGGTCTATTCCAGCTCATTCATTTTTGTATTGAAAATTAATAATAATAGTTAATAACACGGTGGCTCCAGCCCCTTTCCAAATTCTTTCCACCCATCCTGTTTGGATTTTTAATTAAGAAAAAAAAAAGAAAAAAAAAAAGAAAGAAAACCCCCCTTAGTAGTTCTCTTGGTGTTAAAACACTTATGTCCTGTGAGGTTTCCCAATGGTGTTTTTCTTGTAAATGTGTTGGACAAATGTGAAGATGCATTGTAGTTTAACCATGCTCACATTTAGTCTTCTTTATTCCTAGTTGGTGAGAAACCTGTAACTTTCTATGCTGCTTTTATATCTGTATGTATTAGTGATATTTCTCTAGTAGCTTAAAAAAAAAAAGAAAAAAGAAAAAAATTAAAAAACACCCTTTTTTTGTTTGTCCTGAAGAAAAACAAATGCTATCTATTGGAGCTGCTATTTCACTCTGTAATAGAATTTTTTTTTCTGAAAACTAGCATGCTTCACGGAATGCTAACATATTGGTGTTTTTGTAAGAGGGATGTACATAAATGTATTTTGCACTGTCACAATGACTCCCTAGGCATGCTTTTTTTTGGGCAAACTCTTTTTAAATATGCTAGAGCCATTTCACCAAGTTTATCTGTAGCATAGAGTAGTGGTGGATTTTTTTTTTCAAAAATTCACTAATAGGGATGTTTTTATAAAAAAATAAAATAAAATAAACAAGATATCATACTTTAAAAAAGGACAGTGCATGCATATCACTGTAAGGTCGTTAAGTCTTTCTGATTTTACAAAAAAAAAATAATTAGAGCTCCTAATGCTGAGGTGTAGATTGACAGCTTTAACACTGCTGAATGCCAGGTTATATACAGTATTATTACAAAAAGGGAAGTCAGCCAAAGACTGATCTGATGGACCAAATCTGAATTTTGAAAAGCACCAGTACTATTTTCCAAATGATCAGCAGGTTAAACATGTTCAGCAAGGTATAGTGTGAATCCATTAACCCTTCATTGTCCAGGGTCCAGACCAGAACTACTTGTTAGTTGTGAATACTATAGCCCAGGAAACGGTTGTGTGCTTTATTGCTAAATAAGAAAAAGGCAGGCTGTTTATATTTGATTTCCTTTCTTTCTTTTCCAAGGCTTGAGACAAAACACCCATGCACAGCATGTTAATTGCTATTTGAAACATTTAATTTTGGAGATCAATTGGATGTATATAACACCTAATATTTTGCAATCTGAAATGCTTTTAAGAATGGATAAGCACTATCCAGATTTTCTAAAGCGCAACATTATGGAATTTGCTTTAGTTTTTAAATTGGTGACAAGTCTGGGACTTGGACCCTGGTGTCCTGTCACTGACCACCAGGGCTAGAAAGCTGCACCAGCCTTGCATCATCAAAATTTGAAACTGTCATTTTTCTCATTTGCCGTTGTGAATTGATGCTAACATTTATCCAACACATCAGCTAAAGCCCAGTTCCAAAGGCTGATTAGCCTGCACATCTACCTGATATGGCAATAAAGGACATGACTGATCTCCAGATGGGTTATATCTTACCATGGTGCTCCCAGACTCATTTGACCTCACTCTGGTTTCTAGTCTGCTTGTGACACTGGACAGTCCTTTCTTACAGAGCTATTATATGTTCTAGGTTATGAAGGGTTAAATAATCCCAAAAATGAGGTATGTCATACCCATATGTCTTTATTTCTAGAAGCTGTGATGTATGTGAAACAGCACTGTTACTCTTAACACTAGTGTGTAAAATAAGGATTAGTACAATATGTCTCATTACTTAAATTCAGGGCACCCGGAGTGAAAATAAATAAAAAAGAAAAAAAAAAGAAAAAAAAAAGAAACAACTCCCCCAACTCTGAGCTCTATCTCCTTCTCCTCTTCCTCCTCTCCTCCTGTTTTGCTACAGTCTCCTCAGTGGCAAAAAGTTTCACTCTACCTCTGACAGCATGTATATTGCACCAGTAGCTAACAAAAACTGGTCTAGTCAAACCAAATGGGCACAAAAGAACCAGGATACCAAAAGTAAAGCTCATACAGCTGCAAACCATATCACTTCTTGGTAACAATGCAGACCTCATAAACCTAAAGAAGAGAAAGAAAAAAAAAACTTTTGTTACTTTCCTTTTTTGCTTGTCACTTATATACAGGCTATGTGAGAGTATAATTTGTAGGTATAACATTAAAAACAAAGTTAACTTCATTGGACTATAACTGAATGGCGGTCATTAATAGGAATAGGGCGTCCTCTATCTCTCCTCTCTCTGTCTCTTTTACTCTCCTCTTTATCTCTTTCTCTGTCATGAGACTGTGTGTGACAGGGGCCGCCTGTCTCTTTTTTTTTAATTTTTTTTATTTTTTTTTATTTTGTGTAGGTGCATGTCTTGGGGATTTAAAAAAATTACAAGGCTGGTTTACTTATGCAAAGCATGCCTATGTCTGGAATACGTTTAGGGGAAGAAAGTGACTCCATGTTGTCCGAATTCCTCAAGGAACAGAAACTAAAAAAAAATAAAAAATAATTAAAAAAAAAATTAAAGATTGGAGACTGTTGAAATGCAGATTTGAAGTACTTTCTTATTTTTATTTTTTTTTTGGGGTTCCGCGACATTATTGTGAAAAAAAAAAAAAGAAAAGTTGTTGTGCAATACTGAATTTCAGACATGTACCACAAGTTAATGGTAGACTAACACTGAGGGGGGGTGGGGTCTAGGCATTGTGCTTTTGTCAGCATACTCTTGAGCTTTTAAGTCTACTATGTCTGAACTGTGGTTTCTTGTTTATCCTTTTTTTCTTTAGTTGGACTGTAATGTATGGTCTGTCAACCTGTGAATCTTTTAAAGTATGATTCAGGTATTGTTGTATTCTTTACTGTGTAATAAAAATGTTAAAAATCTGTATTCCTACCTTCTCTGTGGAACTTCGTTACCAATGTTCCCTCTGTGAATGGTACTTTGTGAGTCACTAGCCCCAACACAGGAAAATGTCACTTGAAATGCTGACATAGATCACAGGGTCATGTAATCTCACTTTTTCCAGCTTCTGGATGAGACAGGAAAGCCTTGGTGTCAGATTCTTGAGGGTATCTCTTCTAAGTTTCAGTTTATGTCCATGCCCAGCAAGCTCAAATCTGTTTCTTGTTTGTGGCTGGGGGAGACCTCGTAAGAAAACCTCCTAAGTGCTTATGCTTAAGGACTTGGATCAGAGATGTACTTTGCCTTCAAAGTCAAACTAATGCCTAGATTAATTGCTGTCATAAACCATATATGTTTTTAATGTTTTCTCTGCACTTGAGGTTTTGCATAGAGATCTCTTTCTATTTTAAACTTAATGGAAATACTCATTAAGAAAGGGAAGCACCTTTCTAGAGGTGTAGACCAAGCAGTAACTTCTACAGCCTTTGTCCAGTGCATTTCCCAAGGGTACTCTCTGGTACATGCAGGGCTTAATTAACTATGCTGTCTCCAGAAGTAAATCCATCCATAGTGTGATTGTTACAGAAATTAAGACTGCCCCAGCAGGAGGAGAACCGTCATCAACATGATTTCCATGTATGTCCATTGTTTGGTCCTAGCTCTGTACCATGGTCTGCTCCCAGGAACTTCCCACAAGTACTCAGACATTGCCAATTGCATTCAAACATTGCTATTTTGCCAGTGTAAACAATCCTCCCTGGACTCCTGGAATTCTCTTGCTTCTTGTTGTAGACATATAGTATTTTTTAAGATATCAAATAATGGCCATGACCTCAGATATAAATTGTGAATTGATATTAAATCCCAATTTGATTTAAATTGATATTTGACATTGGGATTGGAATTAACATCACTCCCCACCCCCTGCACCCTTCCAGAAGAGGAGAGGAAGTGAGAACTTTGCAAAGCCTATTTTATGGATTAACTCTTTTTAGAAGGATTTTATTTCATTTTGGGTTTTCAGTAAAATTGTAGATACATTCCTAATAGAATGTCCCAAAGGCTCTGACATGGAGCATCTGCTCTTCACCTTCTTAAGCAGAGGAGGTATTTTTTGTTAATTTTGCAAGTTGGTGTAAGATAAAGAGGAAGGGCAGAGGCATAAATAAATGCAACGTGAAGACATATGCAAAGAGTTTTTGTTTTTTTTTCATGTCAGAATTCCAGCCCTGAACTAAGCAGTCTTTTAAGGTTCTCACAAGCCTTCTAGTAATTTGATTAATTTCTCTTGTCGTCTGTACAATCTGTACTCTTTGAAAGCATTTTGGTGTTTAGAGTTTCTGTAAAAGTTGTTCTCGAGCAAGCCCAGTGTTTGTGAATGACCGCCTGGAAATTGGGAGCTCTCCTGTGCCTCAGCAGGGGCCATGGCCTTGGCTCTGGAAGGGGCCATTCCCAAATGAGACCTGATTTTTGACCCTTCCAGTTACACAGCCATTAAATGGCATTTAGAGTGAAAGGGGAATTTGAGCTCAGAGTTGCCAGTTTCAAACCACAGGCTTCAGAGAGTGGAAAATAATTGTCAGCCTCCACCGTGCATTGGGAAATGCTAACTATGAAGTCTGAGAGTTTCTGCCCTCGAATTGACTTTTTGTGTGTGTGTTGAACTGCACTGCCTGATTTTGTGAGCTGAGGTGCAGGTAAGAGGTAGGCTGTTTACCATTTTGACTCTTTTTTTCCCCCGACCCGTAGGCTGAAAGTACATGATCCTGGATTAGTGCGGCAAACTGAGGGTGCAGTGTCAGCACCTTAGTGTGAGACACATCAGCCAAAACCAAGGTGCTTTGCTTCACATTTTTGAATCTTCAGAGAAGTGGTGGCAAAATTAAAATGTCTGTAAGAAGGGAAGGAAACCTGATGACACTCAAGCCAGAAGGTTACCTGTTTCTGCTTCATCTCCCCTCTCCCAGGCATGCTGAGGAGGGTTAGGTCGCACTGACAAGATGACTGAAGAGGGACTGAACAGTAAACTCCTGTTTGAGTTTTGTACACCTTGCTGCCAATGCTTTCCTGTTCCTGTAGCTCCCTTGTTTTTCGATTGGTTATTCCAGCTCTCAGACTGTTTGTTCATGTGGGGTATGTGCCATGTTTGGAGCTGAATTTTCTTATATGTATTGGGCCTGGCAGTAGGAACAAGCAGCAACCACTGGATCACTGGGTTTTCCTTTACATGGCTTTAGTCCTGGCAAGCAAGATCAGTACCTCTACTGAGCTTGAGAAGAGCCAGATAGACTCTCCCCATTACCGCCAGCAGAGCCCTTGTCCCTGCTGTGCAGTGGCCATCCCAGGCAGAGAGAGGCTGTTTCTGAATGGGTGGGTGGCAGTGGATTTTGCTGTTCCCCTCCTACAGCCAAAGAAATGTCATGTGATGGGAGACAGAGCCAGCTGAACACTGATCCTGCTCACCTCCTGTTCTCAGAAAGGTTTTCCCCCTACCTCCTTTCCATATCTTCTCTTCACCAGTCTGGTTTGCAGGACCTTACTATCTGACCCAGTCTCCTCCAGTGATTCGCACAGACCAGGCGATCAGCACATCTGCCCTGGTTGCTTCAATCTATGTTGCACTGCAGTGAACAGTTAAGGACTGAATAATTAAGGACTTTTTATTTCTGCACACCTCTTGCTATACTGTACCCATTTTCTGCCTCCCTCAGCCCACTGCACCAAGAGGCTTGGTTTGGGAGGGAGAGAAGGAGTCACTGAGGCAAGGGTGGCTGGTGGGAAAGGCGAGGTGCTATGGCTCACTAGATGGGTTTGAACCAGGCTGGGTTACATTGGGCTGGGTTGAGAGGACATCTGTGCTTTTTTCCTTGCTGTCTCTCTCTGCTTTGCCCTAGAGGTCTGAGCACTCTGCTGCCATTTTTTCACCCATAAAATGAGTTAACACTGCTTCCACCTCTGCAAAAACATGCTGAGGCCACCAGAGAAAAGGGCAGTGCACAAGGTAAGTATTTATTCTAACAGCAAGACACCTATCTTGGGGGTACTTGAAAAAAAGAGGCAAGATAGAGCAGAGGAATGTAAACATGCTGACTTTGAAGGCTAAGGCCATCTTGTTCAGTCTAGATCAAACACCAGCTTCTAGGCATGGGCATGAGCCCAAGAGCACACAAAGTGCATGCACAGTTCAGTGAGCACACTGGCATCCCTGGGCTGCACCAGGCAGACACGAACAGCAAAGGAGAAATTAAACACCGGAGCGCAGTGACAGAGTTATGTTTCCTTAGAAATCATTAAACCCAAAGGCAAGTTGTTTTATAAAGGAAACACCCTGTGTAAAGTGCAAGAGATGAGAAATGACAGGGAATTGGCTCCCAACCATACTATGAGCTTGGAAAAAGCAGCAGATGTAGACTTGCACAATTTTCTAGCATGCAATTTGTTTTTACATTATGTACAACTTGAGGTAAAATGCAGTAAGACCCCGTCCGACAACTTATGTTAGGCAGCATGGCAGTGTAAAGGAGGTTACTAGCTCTCTCTCCATCCTGTAGAGCTAGCTCCTCTCAGGAGCAGTCAATGTGTGTGTGAGAATGAAGTTCACTGAGACCTGGTTTCATCACTGGCCTCAGCAGCTCAGAGCCCAACAGCTTCTTCAGGGCCACAGCCAGTGCATACACTGGAGATGTGAAGAGCACATGCATTGAAGCTCTATCATAAAAATGCTTTTTTCCCCTCTATTTCTACTCTGATAAGGACAACATGTGCTTCAAAGCAGCCTGGGTCTCTCCATTCTCCTCTAGTCTCAGGTAGGCAACAAGATGAGGAACCGTGTGGGCTGCTGTCCCCCACTCTGTAATGCTGTCATAGCAGTGCATTAATCCAGCTTTTGTAGGGCACTTGGAAGAAAAATCTGCTTGCGTCTCTTCTTCTTTGTATCTTACAAAGACCAAATGGATGCTTTGAGTCTTTTTTGTTGTTGTTGTTTTTATTTCTGGATGGGAGAAAACCACAAGAAAGACTGACATTCAAGTTTCTCTGGATGCCCCTTCTGTGTGCATGTATGGCCAGACTTGCATACTGAGACAACGCTGGTTACCCTCAGCAAAAAATGTGTGCCACCCATCTGAGCTCGTGTGCTGCAGCTTGTAGAGCTGTGTTCTCAATACTCATCCCAAAGCAGCCCCTTATGTCCCATGTTAAAGGTCTTTACATTTGGTGTTCTGAGGTTCTCTGAAACTTTTTCACTTTTTTTTGTTCTTGGGGTTTCTTTTAAAACTAATGTAAAAAACATTTTTTGAAGCCTGACGTCAATTGTGGTTGATGGGTTTTGTTTATTCATGCCAGTTAGCAGGCTAAGTGGAGGTCTACTGTACTTTTGCAAGCAATCTTAATCCCTTCAACTGAATAGCAAGAAGAAAAAGATGGGTTGACAGAGGCAGTTAGCAGAGATCATACTTACACATGTTTGTTTTCAGTAATTAGTCACAGTGTTAATAGAAACAACGACTTTAAGCAAAGGCGCCTGATTTGCACAAACAGAGGGCCATATGCTCTGGTGGGTGTGGAAGGAGGTTGATAAAGCTAAAAACTTTTCAGGAATTTTTATATGTGAAAACTTGCTATTATATTTATTCATTTATTTATCCAGTTTAATTATTTTCATGCCAGTTAGATTTTGCAATATTTCCATTTGAAAATGTCAGAATAAAAACACAGGCCTCTATGTTCATCTTCTCTCTCTCTCTCTCTCTCTCTCTCTCACACACACACACACACACAGAACAACGGTTTTTAAGTGGCTGTCTATTGCTCAGGGCTTACATATGGATAGCATATGAAAATGAACTAGGCTGTAGGTGTTTTAACAATGTAATTTAGAGTATGTTACCTTTTTTTTACTTTTCCAATAGTGCCAGACAGGTTTTGCCACCAGACTATGAAAGCAACTGCTGCCTTTTACAAAGATTTATTATTTTTTGGTGATA